AAGAAAAACAAAAAAAAAACAAAAAAAAAAAAAAAGAAGAAAGCGTCAGTCATATGACGATGCAAAGAGAGTTGCATGGAAGCGAAGACAAAATGTGATAATGGGTGAAAAAATGAAGTTGTATTGTTTTTACTCGCTTTACCTATACTAACGTATCCTAAAGTAATAATAGCTGACTATCAGCGACCAGTATAGAAAACTTTGCCTTTTTTTGTATTCAATTCGCTTTCCAATATTTCCTTCCGGTCTATGTATGTGATCAAATATGGAATTGATAACTTCATACATATATTACTTTTCGTTGCTTTTTATATGCATTTTATTTATAATTTTTTTTTTTTTTTTTTATTATTATTTATTTATGCAAGTTGTACAAGCGCTGATGAAAATGAGAAATAATGAAGAGTAATTGAAAGCAATAAAGTATTACATAGACAAGTAAGACCTAGTTTTGCGCATCAAATCCAAAGATGAATTTTAACAATTTCAAAATGGATTAAAAAAAAAAACACATAAATGCATCATAAATTGGTTTTCATCTCCTTCCGCATAAATGCTGATAGAGAAGATATTTGTGTGCGCTTAAGTCGCATCATTTAATAACTTCTCTCTTATATCAGTCAGTTAGAATTTCGAAATAAGATCGACTTAGGTGTATCGTACAACACGGCTCATGTCATTTTTCCAGATAAAATCTATTTCTTCTCGACATTTTAGCTAAAACCGAGTCCGTAACAGGGAAATACGAATAAGTTTTGGAAACCTTTAAATATGTTATCTGGGTCAAAATTTTGAATACCCTACGGCCTACAACTAGCAAGTAATTAAACCAGCTACAGTCGCTACATCCAAAAAAAATTTTACTAAACTAGCTTTCGCTCAGGGTTAACGAGTAACTAAACAAGAAACCGAGTTGAGGCAGTGACAAACTAAATTAGTTACTGCTTAGTGCTACTGGGGGATAACTAAAGTTGTTTTTGCTTGACATTAGTGACTAATTAAGCGAACTACTAACTAGGATCAACGTTAGCGATTGATAAATCTAGCTGCAAAGTTAATGGGTAATTAAATCAGTTATCATCTAAATTCCGTAAGTAAATAAAACAACTATTCAGTTAGCCTAGCTTGAGAACCTAAATTATATTATAACTAATATAAATTTTTTCCTACCCAAGGTTAGCAAGTAATTAAAGTAACTGCTATCTAGGCCTGTAGTGTTAGCGAATAACTAAACTACTTATCAATTTCGCCTAACGGGTAACTAAATAAAAGGATTGGCGAGTAAATCAAGCGTTAGTGGATAACTAGGCTTGTTACTGCCTAAGTAAGACTAGTGAGTAAATAATTTGCCTTTCTGCCTTGTACCAGCGTATAACTGAATTAAATATTGCCTTCGACCAGCAATCAATTTACCTAGTTTCTAGGTCCAAAAGAAGCGCCATAATTTCCTAGACGAACCGTTGCGCTAGTCATCTTGTCTACATAAGCTGTTGTTATTATCACTCACCACATCGTCTAATAAGTCGGTAATGACCTTCCTTCCTTTTGAAATTAACTCCTATCCCTATTTGAATCGATTGGTGGGTGATGCAGCTTTCTATGCAATGCAAACTGCGAGCCGATTCCAATCCCGGCGATAAGCTATCGCGTATAGTAAAATACACTATGTCCACTGTGCCCACTACGGCTTACTCTGCTTACACTTCACATCGTGTAAATTTACGAAGTTTGTTTCTTAAGATTTAACATCGAATCACAAGCGCGGGCGTCATTGCGGGCGTGTAATTTCTTAATTAATCACGTCTAGGATAGTTTAATATTAAAAAGGAAAAATCAAAAAGATATTTGCTCGAATTATCGATCATACGGTTAACGGAAAGTATTCCTAATATTCGGTTTTAACCGAATTTGACCTATGTCTTGTTATTATTCAGACATACAAACACACCATCGATTTTAAATGGCACTAATTAAACTGAGAAAAAAAAAAAAAAAAAAAAAAATTGAAAATACACATTTAAATAAACGGTATTGTTATTATTGCAATGTTTGGTGTCACTTGTTTACATATAATACATATATATATATATATGTATAGGGTTTGTCTGTCGTCTGCACTGTTTTGCATGGTGGCTCTAGTGCAGCTGCTCGAGTTTTGTTGATACATTGCTGGCATTGCTATCTGATGTTATAGTGGTATTGACGACGATATTGTCTGGCGATATTTATTATTCGCTGTATGCATATGTAGGTGAACTATTGTAATGGTACGTAATGCAGATGGAATGGGGAGAAACTGTCAAATGTTAATGTCGCCTGAAATAATAACTGGCGTTTGACTTTTCTTTTAGATGATTATTATTATTATTATTATTATGCTTTTTATCTTTTTATTTTATGTTAAAAAGTTACGGTTTAAATTCCAGCGCAGAATATGTAAAATGAGTTCCAATTATATGAATTACTAGAATATGACAAATGTGGCAATGATAGGTTAAGGGAAGGTAACGTAAGGATTTCCACTTCTTTAATATTTACGTATGTGTGCATGTGTATGTGTTTTTTTTTTTTTTTTGCTATGCGCGCTAGAGATAGGAATCTTCAAAACTTACTTCTGACCCGTACCAGTAGCATGCATGAGCGCACGTATACACTTCGTTGATAAATGTCACCCGCGAGTTATTACTTAACGGGCACTGGTTGTAGTTGGTGCTCTTCGTTTAGAATGCCGGCTATTCTGTTGACTTACACTTCGCTCTTCCTCCCATCCGCTATCTCTTCAAAGGGGATAATTAATGCGGCAATGCCGTTCACGCTGCTCCATGTTTGTGTATTTGTGCTCTTTTGTTCAGGTGAAAAATTATGAAAAGATACCTGTTCAAAAGGCAGAGCGAGACTTTAACTCGCCCAAAACCACCTAAAGTCCTATGCCCTACCCTGTGACACGACCGTTTGGACCGTATACTTTCACCGGGATAGTCGTTTAGACACTACTTAACTGCTTACGTTTACGCTTCTCATTTCTTGTTTTCCCTTGATGTTTCCGGCGAGCACTCTTGCCGTCTTGCATATTTTCAGGTCGTGCAATATATTTTTTACAAGATTGTCTGGGAGAGGGATTTCTGTCTGTAGAGTCTGTCGTTCGTTGTGGACCGACAAAGAACACATGTTCAGCGTCTTCGCGGCACTTGCAACAACTGCAACATCCTGCTTTAGTTTAAAATTATGTAAGTGGGCTCTAAAACAACCATGACTGCTTATCGATTGTGCTAAATGAAAGTCAACCTCACCATGCTGCCTATTTGGGGTCTGCCTTTCTCGCGACTTCTGCAGCGAAAGATGCTATGCTCTGCATCTTCGTTCGTTTCCGAGCATGCCGGGCAATTTGGCGAATTGTCGTGCCCGAACCTGAACAGGTACTTTCACCAGTCAGGAACTGGGTGTGAGGTAGTACTTTACCTCACCGTGTGACCTTTCGATCCATTGCATTATATTTGGAATAACAACGTACGTCCTTCTTCCATCCGTCGTTTTTTTCTAACGCGATTGCCTAGTCCGCATATCGTCCGCCAAGATGTCGATTGACATGGCACCAGCAATCACAAGATCAGCATCGTCCGACACTGTCCGGAATCCGCTTATCTGCCTTAGCGCACTAAGACGATATATTGCCGCCAACTTTCGGTACACTGCCTTCACTGTGAGTGCACCGGCCCAGACTGGGCTTCTGTACATTATGACCGAAGTTATCATCGTGGCTATTACATTCGATTGGTGAATTTCGGGCCTCCGATATTTGGCGTAATCCTTGCTAGCGACGCCTGGATGTCGGCAAACTTTCTCAGCCGCGTACTTAACGTGGTGCTTAAAGTTGAGTCAATGGTCGAGCATAACTCCAAGGTATTTCATGGCACTTGTGTGCCTGTGTGTGTCTTATCTCGCTATGCGAGTTGGATATCCAAAATTTCAAAACAAACGAACGCATCTCACTTAATATTTCAGCTAATTCTTTTGTCTATGGCTGATTCAAGAGGGTTTGCCATGACGTTTGGTCCTCCACATGAGGACAACGGTCGTGGCGTCTTCACAAGTTTTATTCTCTGTGGGTCAAACTTTCAGTTCGATTTACGTATAATCACAACAGCCGCCAAAGTTGGCAAGAATCGAACCAAAGCTTTTTATCACCTATTTGCGATTTCCGGTCGAATCGCATAGTCCTATTATTTCCAATTAGCGAATGGCGACGGACAATTAGAGTCCTTTTTCCTTGTCTACGTTGGGCACGTGACTGTGAATGCATCACTTTCATTTTGAAAGTGAGACTTCTAAGCGATGAACCAGTTTTATTTTTACATTTCTACTTGTTTGTGATCTCAAATGTGATAACGGCAGCCAGACAGATAAATGGATAAATGATTGCAAAAAAATTAGATTAATTCAGGATAAATTCATGTTCCATATGCCCATCGACACCGAAACATTTTTGAAAACAATAAGAAAAACATCCATCATTGCTTACGTATTTTACCTATGCGTACGAGGCGAGAAGTCTTGCAAAAAAAATTAAATAAAAGTTTTATTAAAATGCAGCAAATGTGTGACGCTGTTTTGCATGTCTTTTTCATTATTATATCATCTTATCCTTTTTCACGTTTTCTTTTTTTATTAAAAAATTTTTTAATCTATTTTTTTTTTTTTTTTGTATACATTTTAAAATACCAGATAATATTCAGTTTATGATCTCCACCGATATCTCATTAAACTAGTTAGATAACAACGATTGTGGCTGATGATGATAAGCAAAACACTTTTCATATCTCGTACATATCTCGCGAAAGAAAGCAAACAAACAAACAAAATTTAAAGTTAATTATTGGCCATAAATTTTCTTTTTCTTTTTCTCTATTTTTTATTTCGCACATACCTTTACTTATATTCAAACATAAACATTTTTATCTACTTATATATATATGTATAATATGTTGTGTGTACAATTACAGATTATACTCGTGTGTATCCACTACAAAGTCAACAATGATGACATTAAAAAGTTAAAAAGAAAGAAAAAAAAGAAAAAACTTCCTGGCTTTTTACTCACTCACTCTTACCACAGAGAAGCAAATTGTATGCAGTGGCTGTAGTTGGTGAAGAGCACCGTGTGCGGCGCGAGATGCATTAGAATTGCACTTTACAAGATAACGCGAAATATCACAAATGCTGACCAAGTTGCCCAATGTCATAAATTCGAATAGCGGCCAGCCATCAATGAATCCTTGCGTAATAATAATATAACATATTGATCGAAGCGTGCGTCGTCAAGCGAAAACGTTCTTCTTTCCTTTAAGTTTTCGTACGTTTTTCTTTTTTTTTTTTTTTCTTTTTTTTTTTTTTTTTTTGTATTTTCCTTTAGAAAATTGGAAAAATATATTTTATTAAAATTGAATTGTAAAAGAACAACAACAAAAAAAAAATAAAAAAAAAAATTATAACTACGCTCGTCATTTTTGGCCGGTAATTAATAAATTGCTTTAACCAACGTGTGGCGAAACGGGCGCCGGAACTGTGCTGCCAGTTGTGGTTGGCTGCACAAGCAATGTCGCACAGTGCTTTAAATGGTGCAGCCGCAGCAGCAGCAGCAGCAGCAGCAGCAGCCGGTGTACTCATTGATAGCGGCAGTGGTGGTGGTGGCAGCAGCAGCAGCAGCAGTAGTAGCGGCAGCACAAATACCGGTGGCAGCAGCACCTTTCAAACCGCTACTGGCATTATGGACTCATCGCGTGTCTCCACTTGCCTTATATCCATGTTACTTATAGTTTACGGTAGTTTTCGTAGTTTAAATATTGAACAAGAGGCACGAGAGCGTGAGCAAAAGAAACGCAATGAATCGATGACAAATTTAATTACCGGTGAACCTGTTGAACAGGAGCCCAGTAAGTGTGATTGCGTGCTTGTGTTTTTATTAAACACATTTCAAAAAAAAAAAAAAAATGCAAAGTTTTTATTAACTAGTTTCGCTTATTATCATCATCATTATTATTATTATTATTGTATTATTGCAGATAAGTTTGCTACTCTGGATACTATGCATGCTTTGTGTTTACCTTTGGGTGCCTCAATATCTCTTTTAATCATGTTTTTCTTTTTCGATTCCATGCAATTGTTATTCGCTGTCTGCACTGCAAGTAAGTTGTCTCATTTTTTCCAATTAGATCATCATTGCCTAACTATATATACTAACTATATATATTCCTTTATACATATATATGTAGTTATTGCTACAGTCGCTTTGGCATTTTTATTATTACCCATGTGCCAGTATATCATACGGCCATGTACGGACGGCAATCGAATATCATTTGGCATTTGTGGACGTTTCACTGCCGCCGAACTCTTTAGTTTTACACTCTCCGTATCGATTGTTTGCATTTGGGTTCTCACCGGTCATTGGTTGCTGATGGATGGTAAGTAAATTTCTTTTTTAATTTACTTCTACCAAAGTATCTGAACGAAAAAAAAAAAATATTTGCAAAAAATTTAATGTGTTTTACTATCCACCGATCTTTTTCAATTCACATCGCATAGAGCAAAGAAATTAAAGTAAAAATCTAGTGCGCCTTTGACAACATCAAAGGCATTCGTTAATAGTTTTTTTTATTTTTATCATAAATGTGCCCTTTTCGTCAAAAGCCCTGTCTTTGATCGGCACTGACACTGTGTCCAGGCTATTTGCCAAATCCATATAACATATATTTACCTAACCATAGGTAAATCTTTCACCTCTTTTGTCCTATTGAAAATGCGACCATTCCGTGATCAAAAAAAATTCTAAATTCAAGATCTTTTTACTTTAAATCCAAGATATTCTTTTTTTCTTCTTCTTTGTCTTGGATGGCATGAAACCATTACAAGGTATTTGCGTGAATGGGGATTTTCGCAATATGTTTGTTCGCTTATTAGATAAAGTTTGTTCACTCTTCAAAATTTAAGCCGAAGAAAACAAACATGTATTTTAATCAAAAATATAAATTATTTCCAAATATCATTAAAGCTTTAAAAAAAAAAAAAAAAACAAGCAAGAAGACACCATTTGTGGAACAGCGATTATCCAGACAGACTGTGTATAACAAGTTTGATCAAAAATTACGATTTGTAGGTTGAATACAACAAGACCACAGGCGTACAGGGACGGACAGACGGATAAACATTCAAAATCATCGCTAGACTGAAAGTTCTTCTTCTTCTAGGTGTTGTAGGTGTTGTAGAAAAGTAAAATGGCATCATTTTGTTCGACTAGAATTCATCATTAGAATCATGATGAATAATGATGCTCCTGATCATGCTTTACAAAATTGATATCATTTTTAAACATCAAAAAATATTTCATCATATTATTATTATTATTATTATTATTATTGTTATTATTTCCAGCTATGGGCATGGGTTTATGCGTGGCTTTCATTGCTTTTGTACGTTTGCCGAGCTTGAAAGTGTCCACATTGCTATTAACCGGTCTACTCATATACGATGTCTTTTGGGTATTCTTCTCCTCCTATATATTTAGCACAAATGTTATGGTTAAAGTCGCTACACGACCGGCTGAAAATCCTGTTGGTATTGTGGCTAGAAAATTTAATTTGGGGAATATGGTTAAAGAGCCACCGAAACTTAATCTACCTGGTAAATTGGTATTTCCCAGCATACACAATAGTGGTCACTTTTCTATGCTGGGCTTGGGCGATATTGTGATGCCTGGTCTATTATTATGCTTTGTTTTACGTTATGATGCCTATAAAAAATCCCAAGGTGTAACAACAGATCCCACATTACCGCCACCAAGAGGGGTTGGTTCGAAATTAACCTATTTTCATTGTTCCTTATTGGGGTAAATATGAAAAAAAAAAAAACAAAAAAAAAAAGAAGATACTATATATATATATATATATAATATACGTTTTTAAAAATGTGCTTCATTTGAGATTAATTTTATTTTTAAAAAGGTATTTCCTCGGCCTTCTAACGGCTACTGTTAGCTCGGAAGTGTTTAAGGCTGCTCAACCGGCTTTATTGTATTTAGTACCATTTACATTGTTGCCTTTATTGACCATGGCTTATCTAAAGGTAATCATTTCATTATTATATATTCCGATATAGCGTATTTGTATGTAAAGTATGTTTGGTTATGTAAATGATTTTCTTTTGTGTTAAAATTTCAGGGTGACTTGCGTCGTATGTGGAGTGAACCTTTTATAACACAACAATCCTCAAAACAACTGGAAGTCTGAATGTTTTCTCTACACAACACCAAAATATTATTTTTCGTTCATATTTTTTTTTTTTTTTTTTTTAACTTATATGTATCTACTACACATATTAATTTATAAGCGTTTGTTTAATATTATTATTATGATTATTATTATGATTATTATTATTACTATTATTATTATTATTATTATTTCTCAAGTTATTTTTAAATGTGTGTAATATGCTAGCATAGCTAAGGTAATCTTATGAGATTTAATTTTTTACAAACTAATTTTTATTATCTAATGAATCTTAGTATCTTAGTACTTTACATTTTTTAAATTTTGATTAATTAAAAAAAAAAAAGAAAAAAAAAAACAACACAAAACATACATACATAAAAAAAAATCTCTCTCATAGCAACATAACTACAATTCCAGCTAGCATCGTTTTATGCAAAAAGAAATAGAATGCTAATATATATATATATATATATTTATAAAAAATAATAAAGAAAGAAAGAGACAAAAAAAAATACCTAGAATATTATTACAATTACAAGATAATCTTAACTCAAAAAACTGAAAAACATGAAAGCATAACAACAAAATCGTTATTTGTCGTCTGAATTTATTTTCAAGTTTAGAATCAAAAATTATTTATTAACATGACAATTTTTTTCGAATCGTTTTTTTTTTTTTTTACAACACAACATACATAACATACACACACACACACACACGCACACACACACACACACACACACACACACAAAGACTTATTCTTATTCTTATTCTCTTACTTTCAGTTGAAAGACGCTGGTATACCCACTATCGAAGGGCTTTCACATTCGTTAGACTTGTCCATCTGTTGCTAATTACCGGGAATCATTTCATAAAGAACATACATCCAACTCTTTTTTACACGGTAGCTGAATTCCTTAGAAAATCATGTAAAAAAAATCCGACATATGATAAAATTGGGTATAGGTCTCACACAACTGTACAAAATCGTATAAGATGGTAAAAAACTCAAAATATCAATGGGAGTTGTGTCGAACTGAAATGTAACCGAGAAATAATTTCATAGTAGAGTATAGAAAATAATCCGTGGTAGTTGTGTCGAACTGAAATGGAAAGTAGCCTTTTCACGGCCTTCAATACCCCAATGACACAAGAGACACATATATTGAACTCTGTGCTACATACATACGTTGGAAAGAATTAAACGAAAAAAAAGAAATAAAAAAATTTATATACCGTGAAAATTCACTCCATAAGATGACAATGTATAATAAAACCCCATTCCGGTTAATAAAAGTTCCCAAAGTAGCTCAAGCCCAATAGTCCAAGTCACGTGACGCATGTATGATCATAAACCGACCGACTTCCGATTGCAGTATCCTCTCAATTGTATTTTTTTGCTGCATACCTAAGTGTCTGTTGGACATTGGCAAAATGAGAGTAAAAAAAAAAAATTTTTTTTACGATTCGTGCTACGACAAAATTATTCGTGTTAAAAAGTGCAATTGTTCTTATTTGGGGGAACCGTGTTATTTCAAAGTAGGAAAAAAAGGTGGGTGTATATAGGATCAGCATTTGATTCAGAATTGATTTCCCTCTCTTTGTCCGTCCGTTTCAGTGTTGGAATATACAGAGTTGTAAAAATCAGGAAAAAAATACTAAAAGAAAGTTGAGCCATGGCCATGGTCACAGGTCGAGTTCTGCTACTCCAAGTTGCATCGACAAGACACATAAAACGAACTGTTGCTCTGCAACTTGATTTGTGATCGAGTTCCAAGAGATTCAAAGAAAAAGTGTATGTAACACACATACAAATAAATATGTCCAAAGAAGATCTAATAATATCTCCTACACTGATCAAAAGGGAATATTGGCATGAAAATGCTAGAAAGATCACGAGTAACTAAATGGGACGCGTAGATTGAAAAAAAAAAGAAGAAAAACACTATTTCAATACTCCAGTGCACAATAATGCATTTAAAGCTTTTAAAGCGGTGGGTATGAGAAATTCGTCTTTAAGGCATGGAATGTAAGATTCTTTAAGGGTTTTTTTTTTTTTAATGTATTTTTTTTTTTTTATGCAAATTGTGTTTGAAAACTTTTGTAAGAGTTTTTTTGTTTTTTTTAATTTCAATTTTTTTTAAAAAGATTTTCCAATAAGAAAAGCCAAAATAGTTAGTCATGCTCTGTATCTAATAATAACTTAAATATAAAAATCATCTAAAATCATCTGTATATATAATAAAAGAACGAACTATAAGTATTCCTTATATGAATTAGTTTTTTAAGTAATACTAACTGAAAACAAAAAATATCAATTAATTTTTTCAATGTTTTTTTTTTTTTTTTTAATATTATTATTTGTTTATTTTAATCTATAAATTTTAGTACAAAAGAGCAAAAAAAAAACAAAGAAAAACACTGGAAATAATTTTTTGCTTAGGCAAAGAAACGTTCAATTTTGAACATTTTTCCACAACAACCGAAATTGTTTTGATTTTTTTTAACTTGAATATATATATATGTATATATATATATGTATGTATATGTATGAAAAAAAACAAAACCAAATTAATCATTACTTTATATTATACAAGTTATTGTTTTTTACCGGAGTTGATTTATATCCAAACACCACCGACAAACGGGAATATACTGTACTTGCCATTCCATTTCCTAAGCTCCGGAATAATGTCACGAAAAAATTCCATAAAATATAATTTGATCAGTTTGAAATGCCGAATCGTTCGGTATATATGTTGTCGTATGTTGTCTGATGTTGCAAACATATTCAAATCATAAAACTTATACTAGTGGGAAACTTAGAACTTCATCGTTTTTAATCCTTAGCTAATGTTGATTGCAAGTTTAGTTAAAAATTTCAAGATTCTCTACAAAGGAAGTGCTGCTCATCGATCCGCAATTATACAATACAATTGAAATTCAAATATTCTTTGCTTTACCCCCTTTTTTCATATACACGCAATTTCGGAATGAATTAATCTCGGAGTCTCTGCAATATTAGAATGTATAATGTGATGCTTATATAATGTTTCTTTTGTAGTGCTGGATGCTGATGATTTTCTTTCCTCCGGTCCTCCGAAAGCCTAAAGCATCTTATAAAGTACGTGTGTTGAACTGATTTAAGCAAGTCCGTCCATTTTCTGTCCGCAAAAATGATACTCTAGACTTCAAATTTGGCAAAAAAAAACACAGGCCCAAATCGGTCAAGGCCTTTACGGTAGCACGTTCTTCTGCTTTCCAAAAGGGGAAAAAAATGGGTTTTCTCCCGATTACTCACATCAGATGAACATTATATTCTGTAGGCTATGCTATAGTGGCTGTAGAAAAATGGAAGACATCGGCCACGCCTACCCAACAATATAGCTTATCAAAAAAAATTTTTTTTTGATCAAATCCTTAGAAACGCCCAAAAGCAGGCTTCAAACATCTCGTAAAGTATATACATTCTTGGTCAGTATTTCTCTATCCATCTGTCCGTCTGGGTATCTATGGTAGCAATTCTCCCCTCTCTCACAAAAATGAAGATAGCGTATGAAAATTTGCAATAGACCCAAACGGGGAAAAGGATAAGCATAATGCAACAGAAACTGAGAAGGCCTTCTCTTTTTGGGATTTTCGATTGTTGCTCATAAACACACAATAAGGGATGCACTATATAAATTTCCAGTTTTTATTCTGCAGCAATGTAAAAAATCACTTCCGCCCAGGCAATATTATGCGTTTGGAATATGGGATTTTTGATTTTTCTTTTTTTTTTAAGAAAACATTAGAATATAGTTTTCTTACTTGTTTAAAATGAAGTTAGGGCCTTAAAATGCGGCATAGGGTGCTTTGCCCTTTACATTATCTCCACTTATCCAAACAGGAGAATCTTTATCATATATGCAGCGTAGTTTGGCAGATGGACAGATGGACATGCTTACGCGTATTTGCAAAATCTGCAAGTGGCAAAAAAATTGGTGAAGTTTTTTAAGCTTACTTGTGGGCGTTGCAAATGTTTTTACAAAATGTATATACCTTCCATTCTAGGGTAAAAGCTTTACGTGAGTGACCAGAAATTACATAAAAATTTCATGATCGGCATTATGGGAAAGATGAAAGTGAACTTTTTCAATGTAAATAATCTACTTCACTCCAGATCCGCTCCACTCTCTCTCTCTCTCTCTCACACACACACACACACACACACACACACACAACAAAATTCTTATTGTTTTATCAATGTAAATACATTAATCATTAATAGCTAAGTTCCCCCCATCTGCTTTTTTGAGGGATATTCACTGGTTCTATTCGTGTTTGTAATCCATTTCTTTGCATAGATGAACAACAACAACAACAACAACCTTTTTTAGTCTCTTAGTGTTCTCTTAATCTCTCGGAAAGTCTTCTTACTTATATGTCTTATCATTTGAACATTACACCAAAAAAAAAAAAAAAAAATGAGGATCGCATACATACACAAATGTGTTTGTATTTTTTATTTATTTTTTTCCCCCCAAACAAAATTCCCTTGAAACATAAAAAATATTCAAATTTGCTTAATTGACTAAAAAACAGAAAAACAAAAAAAAAGAAAACTTTTTCCCATTAAAAATTATAAAATATGTGTATTTCTAGAATTATATTAGTATATAAGAATGAGTTAAAAATAAAAACAAAAACCGATTAAATCAGAAATATGAAAATTTTTAAATAAAATTTAAGTTACAAAAAAAAAAATTTAACATATACATAAAAAATTCTTTCTTTCAATCTCGGTGAAGCGCGTGAAACGAAAACAGACTTTAGCTTCAATTAAGGGAACGAACCACTTTACCTTTCAGGGGTAGCCCACAAACACGAGAATATTCGAAATCTCAAATTACGCGATCCAAATTTTTTTCAAGATAACCCCTATAGAGTAGCACAGTATATATATTATATAATAATAATAATATATAATTAATATATATATACATTAAGATCTAAAAAATAGATCCATGTGATCCAAATTCTCTACCGTTAACTACTCAATGCTCAATGCTACTATGAATCAATTTTTATTGAAGAGTTTGCCATATTCATGAGGAATCTTATAT